GAAGGCGAAAAGAAGGTGCGGCCGCACGAGTTCTCACTTGTTGATATCAGCTGTTTTCCCTTATCACCTCACTCTCACCATTCGAAGTGGAGAGAGTTGGTTGCGGAACAACCGCACCATCAGGCAACCATTAGAAATGAAGTTGGGCGTAGTGGTCGCCAGGTGGGCGGGGTGGCCGACTCTTCACGAGCGGGCGCCGCTATTCTCTCGCATTTTTGAGTTGCGAAACTAGTACGTCCATCATAGGGTGAGCTACGATATCCAGAGTGGGAAAGAGTGGGAACAACAAATGAACGCGGGCGCTGCCTTTAACATCCTGATTACGAATATGACATTCAATCTTGGCGCTGGCGCTAATGGATGAACACTACGATTATCTGCGCTCTGCTAAGGCTGAGCCCAGGAGGTAATCGTAGTGTCCTCCTTAGCGCCAGCGCCAAGAATGAATGTCATATCGTAATCAGGATGTTAATTACACTTGTATTCAAGTTTTCGGGTGATCTAGACACTTCATAAATGAGCCGACAGCCAAAACTCAGCGCATCCAAACGCCACTAGGCTTTCAGTAGACATCCACACGCTGCTGGAAGCCCAGAACAATGGATCAATCGACGTCTATATTTTTCTAGTCATTGAAAACGCTCGATACGCTGATAGACGCTCAAAACGCTGACGCGAAGTATGAACATGTCTTAACAGGTGTATTTACCCACCACTGTTATTGAGAGCTCTTTGCTACTGTTTTAGGCAGCCCTGGATACGGAATGCAGGATAGCGCGAGGCTAAATTAGCTGTCAGCGCCAGTCTGACAGACGATTGAGCCATGAAGCTGTTCTTCTCCCCTAATCTAGCATTGCTCACAATGTGCGACCTTGGCTCGGTGCGGGGTGCTATCTAGGGTATTCAAAAGGCTTTTTCTACTTTTTCTCTTCGTTATCGAATTCAGCAATCACTGTGTCATTATTACCTGAAGAACTACCCCGAAGGCTTTTGAGAGTTACGTAACGCACAGGTCAAAGCTTTTATCCTCTAGTAGTTCTATAGCAACTAACCGACCGCGGGGAAGGGGGGTAGAAGGATAAGCTGACTCGGAGCACGGCACATCCTGTACGACCCCCCTCCCTTGCGCCCTCGAAATCTCCCCTTGTGCTACAACCCCCTCATCCAGATCTCCCAATCTAGCTAACATCTTATCGAATTCCTTTTTTTAGTCAAATTACTTTTCAAAAAATTCCCGAAATCCATCTCCAAAAAGCTGTTGATGGCAGAGATGAGGCACAACACACGCGAAGCGGAAAAACCCAAGATATATAAGCCACCTTTTGAAAATATTTTTCTTCGAAGACAGTTGCGATCTACCACCACCCTCCCCTAGCGAGTATGCTCTGCGTCGGAGGGGTAGAAGCGTTCACATATATACCAGATAAGCGGTGTATTAACGTGTTGTACGTGTTGTAACCTGACATTAACCACTTCATACAGCATTTTTTGGCGGACTGAAATCCATTCGGCTTTTCTACGACAGCGACGCGACGCTGTCAACATTGCAATATTTCTCAGACTTCGCGCCGCATGGTGGCGTCAGGCGGGAATCAACCGAAATTCAAATTTTGAATTTGCCCCGGTTGAGAAACAACTGTTGAATCATCTGTACTTGTTGATCAAGTTATCATCGGCTAAAATATTTATGGTAAGTTTCCCTTTGTTTCCACATTTTCAAGGGTTTTCTCTGCATTTTTTCCTTTTAGGTTTCCATTCATAAGGACTCTTACACTCAGACTTACAAAAGCTTTCTTCTTGGTTCATGAAACTCCTTAATTTGACACAAATTCCGCCCCCAATTTTATACTTGTGATCCATTCAGACGGCCTCAATTCAGCTGATTATCTCCCTATTTCTGAACGCACGCAACTGTAATTAGTGGTACCACAAACATAAATGTCGAAATCTAAAAGAAAATCGTATCGTTGGATGAAAGTAAAGAGGTTTCAGTTCCCTTATTCTGGAACTTACAGGCGTTTACTGAGCGAGTTGTTAAGAGTGGAATTTCAATGTGATCAAACTTCAGGTGGTTTTTCTTCGGCAACGTCTTGCGACTTGGGCAAGCCAACATCTTTCAATGAACTTTTTAATTTGTAAGTTTGGTTGAATCATTTGAAATCCTCCTTGTTCATTCTTTCGACACACAAGCGAATATTTCCGCAAAATCGCTCTAGCCACGTTTTGTCCTTTGCTTATTTGTCTCATAGCAAAGGGCAAAAACGCTGCTCGCTGTAGGCTGTTTTCCTTACCTTGGAAGAAAAGTGACCATCTTTCATGGTGAAGCTTCTCAAAGAATGCGTCTCAGTCAGTGTTGCGAAAAGCATTGCGAAAAAGATAGAAATTTGGCGCTAGAAAAAGTGTGGCGAGGCATAAACAGTGTCATTAATAGATGATGTAAAGAAGGAAATTATAACTTTTCTCAAGCTTCTGTTTTTTACAATCTCGAATGGTAAGTTGTAGTTCTTATTAGTATTTTATGTGCCTTTCGAGGTTATCAGGTGGAACTTCCATCGAGGTTACCTGATATTTCGACTGAATCGTCATCTTCGGGACCTAAAATATATCACTTTCAAAATAATGGTTCCTGGAATTTAAGAGTTTTCGTCCAACTCATTTACCAGATCCTTGCAAGAATGAGAGAAGACATAATGTGATGATGTCATCCTTTCTCCTTTAATGTTTCTAGGATCGCTTCCCCTAGAAGCTAGAGCAACTGTTTCATCGAAACCATATTCTCACATTGAGAACAGGTTTATCTACCATTTTTTTAGAGGATGGGGTCACCTTTTCGGCCCTGGTTTCCCTTTAACTGCCCCTCTCTTCGTATTTAGACCACATTTTAGTCGAAGTTTTCCTCTGGGAGGGGGAAGGGGAGCGGGGGGAGTGTAGATTATCTTAGCCAGAGGGTAGATTGACCCTCTCAACCCGAATATTAATTCCGTTCAGAAGTGTAGCATCCACTCCACGTGCATCTGCGTCACAAAAGTTTTGGCGCCGAGTTCGCTACGGAGACCCAGGCGTTTTCACGCCAATGTAGCGTGACATCGTGTCTAGGGGCCCAAAATACTGCTCGAATCGCGTCTTCAACATTTCCGGTCTATAGCTCTGATTCAGTATTGGGGTAAAAGGCGCGACTATTTTTGAACAGTTTTGAAGATTATTAGATATAAAATTATATTTCTTGTTTAAGCGCATCAAAGAACGCGTCCGACAGCGCAATATGGAGCTAAGTGCATCGATGGAAGACACGAAAGAGAATCTCGAAGTGTCGTCGCTCAGTGGAGGTGGAGGTATTGCGTTTGTTGTTAAAATTTGCCCTTCAGTACGATTTTCTACATTAACAGTTATCGCTATACCGTGTTGGGCCATGTAGTCCAAGACCAAATCAATCAATCTGAATTGCCGTAAAGGTCGCATTCATGCTTCGCGACTCGGAAGATTCGGCGATCTGAAAGATTGCGGAAGATTGCGAAAATATAGGCGATCTGGCGACTGATCGAGCGCTCCGGCGATCTGGGAGGCTCGGCAGTCCCGGCGATTGCGCGTCAAACAAGTGGATGGGTATCGTTCGGCGCCGAATTGTCGAATATCCCGAATCACCGAATCGCTCAGTCTTTCAGAACGTCAGATCGCGCGGAGTCTCTGCAATTCCTAGCGACCAGACCGGTGCAATACCATCCTCTCTCTTGGAGCACAATCGCTCTAAACGCTGAGTCCCTCAAATCGCCGTGTCGCTCAATCTCCGTAGTCGCCATATCAATACCTATTTTTCTCGTCGCCCCAGTACCTCAAATCGCCGGGTTGAACGCGGTCTTGAGGTCATCGATTAGCTTCCATTGGGCTTTGGGTGTTTTAGAATTGATTCATACTCACCTTCAAAATCTATTTATGTTTTTCAAATTATTCAGATCAAACATTTTAGATAAATCCGCTGACATTACAGAACCCGAAACTGCCAGTGCCAAAGACGTTCTTATGGTATGTTTTGAACGTTTTGTACATGAAATCGGTTTTTTGTGCTGTATGAATGTGGTGCACAACTTTTCTCCTTTGTCTATTGATCCTGTCACCTCTGGGTTTGATTTCCAGGAGTCACCATTAAAAAACAGGACCAACAGCACTAGTACTGCCAGTGAACCTCTGGTCGAGCCAAAGACGCCTTCAGCGCGGATGAAATCACGCTTTTCCGAGTTGGCTGCAGAATACGAAAACTTCGAAGTCGACCATAACTGGCAGCAGGCCGGATCAAAACCAAAGGAGGCCTATATGAAAGGAGCTTCACCACGGCTTAGTATTGGCGAGGTAATTTTCGTTTATCCCTCCATACGTTTGTGACTCTGCAGTGATCTTTTCGCATGTCTTGCACATTTCTAGAAGATTTCTTGTTGCCACTTTGTCTGCGTTCATACTTCGCCTCGGCGTTTCGAATGTATGGCTATATTTCGAGCGACAAGGAAGGTATAGGTATTGATCTAGCGTTTCTGAGCGCACGCTAGCGTTTCCAGCGACTGTTCGCGAAACGCTCAAAGCGAGGGGATACGTTCGAAATATTAGATCAATACCTAAACTTCCCTAGCCGCTCAAAACGCGGACGCAAAGTATGAAAGCAGCCTGACACAAAGTACGGACGCAGCCTATTCTATTCGTTTCCTTCAAGATGTTACAATCCTCTTGTCATTCTGCCCTTACAGACAAGACCATCGGTTCTATGCACCTCCGGCTGGAATGGCTCAACTGAAGTCTAGCACCACTAAATCGCCTGGTAGCCGCGAAACGTCACCAGTAAAACAAGTCACTACAGTCGTCTGCAACAAATGTATGTCATGAACTTTTGGAAAAAAGTGGTTCTATAACAGGAAAGCCTTTATGGTACTCATTATGTTTTTACAGCTCCCTCAGAAATTGGAGCCCGTCAAAGAGGAGCCGCGACGTATTCATTTTGCTCATCCAATTGCTGCCACACACGTGGTGGAATACGAATCATCGATGTGTACAACGGTGGTATGTATTCTTTTCCGTGTCTAATTTTGTCACCAATTCCCCACAGAAAGAAAAGAGCTCCATTTGGAGCGGAAACTCCCTTTGAGGCGAAATGGCAAATATTTAGGCCTTTACTGGAGGGTCCCTCACGACGCAGGCATCGTTCTTATCAGTGATTAGTTGCCCCCAGATCCTTGCCAATTTTTCTGATAGTAAGTAAATGTTAGAAGGCCTGACCCGGATTATTCAGTTACGACTTGAACAAAATTGAAAAGAGGCCGGAGAAATACGTGGGAATGCGTGGTGAATCCTTCCTAGCGCGAGATTGGCAGTCCGGGAGCAGCAGAGGTGTAGCATCCCAGCCATTCGATTGAACAAACGCGGCAATGAAGCTACAGTCTTGTTTTCTGCGGATGCTGCGTTTCAGAGGATGGGGCGGATTCGGCGCAGCGTCAACCCGTTTTCCACCGTGGAAGCAGGGATTGCGTCATACCCGCCCCCTCCCCTGACACGCCTCAGCATACGCAGCGAAAAAGACTGTATAGGCTTGTGATATGCCTGGCTGATCATGCTGTCTTCACTTACTATTGAACACGCAATGCGCCATACGCCCAGCTATAGTCGCTACTTGTTTGCACCCTCTGATGTAAAGCTGGTCGTGTGGCGTATAGAGTTGCCGTGGCTTCCGCATCACGTATCGAATAGCCAGCGAAGAAAGGATGAATAGCAAAGACCTGTAACTTCAATGCCGCGCACAGCACGGTTACATCCAGACTGCCATCGACGTGCCCACCAGCACGCGGAGGAGATCCAGCTCTCGGGAAATCGTACAGCGTGTCTTCAAGAGGGCCTCGCGTTTGTTCCGCCTTGGACACGGATTAGACCCCTGTAGGTAGCTGCTATCTTCTGAAAGAGTGTCTACAAGACAAGAAACGTCAAGTAGTACATGATATCTCGGTGTTATTTTCGTATCCGCTCCTTATCATAGATTCCATGAACTCTGAACGTCTCATTGTTTAATACCATTTCCTACTGACTGGTCTTCCGTTCTGTAAGGCGTATGAATGTCGAAGTTCAACACAATCCCTAGTTATTCTGGTTACACCTTCAGAAGGATTTTTGTGAGTTCCTCATGTGCAAGTGTAATTTCTGGTCTGCTTAGATATTAGCTGTAGTCAGTATAGCGCCACAGTCTGATGCAACAATGCTAGTGTTACGTGATAAGGCGTGGCACGACGTTGCATAGCGTCTCGCGACACATTGCTGACTTTGGACAAGAGGCGCTTGCCGGTTCGGAGAAAAAGGCTGAAATTTCGAGCCACATTCAGAATTTTGTGAAAGACCATGCTGAGTAACTTCTAAACGTCGGTAACTGTACAGTCGATCCACTTCATCGATTGTTGAGGCATGCAAGCGGCAGTTCTCGCTGGGAACTAGGCCGAACACCAATCCCCTTGACACATCCTGGCGTCTGCTGCGGAAACAATCATCCCACCTGATGAACTGGAGTGCTATGTCTTGGGAAGGGACAGCTCTCTCGGGGCTCTGCCACGTCAAGGCTGCATATTCAGTCCTGTCCCCCTAACCAACATGGGGTAGCTTTACCACGTCAGAACACGGCGTCGTTAAGCCCCATTAGAGATCGCTCCTCCCGTGATGTTGGAAATCAATAAATAAACACCTTGGAAAGGAAGCGATTGGTACTGTCCTTCGCCTTTTACCGCTATGCTAATGACCAACATGATTTTATCGCCATAATTCCTCTTTAAGAACACCATTGATGAAAGCAGTATTGTGGCTGGTTGTGGAATGCACGAAAGTGTCCATGCTCTGCCCATCCCAGCTGCGAGAATGTTCCACAAAAACGAGGACGGCGAGGTTGATCTGTCGAGCGATGAGTATGGAGCGCACACTTTCCAGAAAAAGGTATGTCTGGCGGAAAAAAGATGTGAGGTGTATACGTAGGGGAGACGTGTTTCCATTCATATAGCATTGCTTCAGACAACCACTGAGACTATAAAAGACAAGGATGGGCAGGTGGATATGTCCAGTGACGAATATGGAGCGCACACGTTTCTCAAAAAGGCCAGCCTAGTACTTTGTTTTTTTTTGTGCTGCATTCGCCGTCTAACCAACTTCTTTCACTGATTTCTGCTGCTTATTCTGTTGTGCTTCTGACCTTAGAGTAATTAATAACATTTGAGGTGATTTCAGGCGGCATTGCGCTGCTGGGGGGGGGGGAGAGCTGCAGCACTCTCCATCACATTTTCCATTGTCGCTGTTTATTGTTTTTATCAATGAGTTGACAGGTCTTGACATCTCATTGTTTAGGAGGATGCCTACATAATATTATCTGCAAACTTGCAGTCGGTATACTTCATGTTGCAAATAGATTCACAGGTTCTAACTGCAAAATCGACACATGACAGTGGCGAAAGTGACGAAAGTCCAGAAGCCCCCTCCCCCCCCCCCCCCAAGCAGAATGGCGCCTAATTACTTTCTGATTTCAGAAGGCAAGCACACCACCAAAGTGTTCGTCAACGTCGTCGTTAGCAATCATGTCGCCGAAGCCTTTTGTGCGTTTAAGCTTCTCACTTCTATCATGTATTGTAGCTTTTTGTACACGCTTGCACACCATATAACCTTGTCTTCTTGTCTGTTTGGTGGCGGAAACTGGTGTCTGCTGAGGGTCGTTTTCGTAGCACCTTGACGAAGAATGGGGGAGTCGCAGAACTGGAAGCATAGAAGAGACCGCGGAAAGGAAAGTAGATATATCAATCGGGAAAAGCGGAGTATTCTTCAGAGGGATTTACTGCAGTCCGATTAACCCTGTCACGAGGACAATCGCGATTTTCCGAATCGTTTCGTAAACTTCTCTTCTAGCGGTGTCTCCATTCTTCCATTCCTCCCCCCCCCCCCCAGTTCCTCGATTCAGAGTCGCGGTGCATTTCCCTGATGGGTAAAGCGGTCCACTGGACTTTGTTGCATAACTACCATCTGACATTTTACATGATATTCCCGAGAAAAGGGAATAGCATCAGCTGTTCTCCGTTCTGCCACAACAACAACCCCATAAAGTTCGCTAATCCCTGATTTTCTAATCTTGGTGCTACTCCATAACTTTTTAAACAACCGCTCAGTTCTATTCCACCTATACGCACCATAACTTTCCGTCACGATGGTATATATCGCTTTTACTAAATGTCAGAGTGAATGTATCTATGTGTGCTTTGCCTTATCGCTTTGGCTTTAGGTCCGTACTGGCAGTCAAACGCAGTTTTCACCAGTGCACTTTGTGAGTTTTGTCAAGTCCTTGCTGTGCTTTGTTACTAACGTATTCTTACCAAATCGCTGAGGGAATCAGTCATGTTCTCAAATGCACACTGTACGATTACCTGGAAGCTGGACCGATTTCATGTGTAGTGTGGGCAGGTCTACGGCATTTCCCTCATCCGAAAGTGTGTGACAAGGAAGCGAAAGGCTTGTGGTTGCTTGTTGGCGTGCTGGCGCCGGTCGGCCTTTGATAAGCTACAAATGTGGTCCACCTATCTCTGCTGTGCCCTCTCACGGAGCTCGGTCTGTTTCAGTATGAGAACCGCTGTCTGACGCCGAGTTCGCACAACGAAAGTGATAACAAGAGTGCTGAGTTCTGGGCAAAGTCAGACTC